ATCCATTTTGATGTACTCACACAGACTCCCAATTGCGACTGAGAGGGCACTCTTTTTCTGCATCTTCTGCCTGCGATATGCCCAGCACAGTGTTGAAGCTGTTTTTTAAAAATTCTGCAATTTTGAATTGCGTTCAACTGTTTTACTTTTACTTAATATGATTTTATATTCAAAAAAGTCTCAAGTAACCGTTTATCAGTGCTAAAAAACTGACCCCCAAACCCACTCCCATATAGACTCGAATAAACCGACCTCAGTCTTGCATTAACATAAGTCGAATTGTCCAATAGACTATTATTAGATTTCCACAATGACGGACCGCTGTTCCGAACAGGGATGTATTTAATTTACAATTTAATTTGAAAATTATCTACCTTTGAAACATTATCCTGTAATATATTGTATTATGAATGAGTGGCAATCGATTGGCACACATCTAAAAATATAACCCGCAAAATATCTACCAAACAACATAGAATGACAAATTTAGAAAATTATCGACCAATAGTTTTCATTTAGGTCTTACGATGAGAGTTATATCAAAACTCGGTTCATAATTGAATCACAACGAATAATATATTTTTCTTCAATGCTCTCCAACTTCAAAAGTAACTTGCCCTTGCTTATTAATCGGTGCCTAACAAAAGTCACAAATTTCTTAGTCGCCGCGAATACTTTTGATGTCAGTCAAATGTTCCGCAATGCAGATTTTATAGGACCCCAATTTGATCTGGTCCGAACTTAGCTATAATTTACAGGCGAGCTTTAGGTTGTTCACGTCATCCAATAACACAAATTGGATTCCGTAATATCAACTTCGACAAAATGTTTTTTTCTAGCTTTAAGTTATTTTCTGTTAAACCGATTATCACGCTTTCAAGAATCTTTTTATCGTGACATTCATTTTCCCTCCATACGGTAATACACCTTTTCGACGATTTGCGCCCTCTAGCGGTGGAACGCTTCCGTGATGTGAACGTCAGGAGTTATCGTTAAAAACGACAACTGTGCTTGCTCGTATAGTCGTTCGTTATGTGGAACATAGTAAAATCCCGCAAAACATAATCTTGATGATGTGATGAACAGCTACAGATCAAAACAATATTTACGATATGAGCGGCCTTCGTGGCACTCATTTACTATTACGCCAGTGAAGCGCTTCGTCACCACAGAACTCGATTTATAGGTAGAATGTAATCCCTTCTCCTGACTTCCAATTCACGGTTACTAAAAAAACGGCAAATTTTGAGCCAAAAGAGCGCCCTCAACGTCGATCTTTTTTTTGTTACAGTTTTCAAGTTGCCGCTGAGCACTCTCGCCCAAAATCGAGATGAGTACAACCCGTTTTTTTCTCCTTTAATTCACAAGATTTTACTAGCCAGTTTAATTTTACTCACAAGTAACACGCTATCCTTCAGTAACCATGGCAACTCCTCAGAGAATACGATTAGGTCAGTTAGTCGCGCCAAACGATGGCGCGATTACGGAATTTGTCGAAATAAATTCCGCCACATGACACTGGCATAATTCTCGGTTCAAATAACGATTGCCTGGTTACCTTCCTATTGTTTCGTAGAAGCCATCTTCCCAGCACTTTTGGGGTGTTTTAACGCAAAGAACGACGAACATTGGATAATTTATATGTTACGAATTGAAGTTTCCGTGTTCTCCAGGGTAGTGATATGTTGAGACAAATAAAAGTCACCCGAAATCTTCACATGTTAGAACGAAGATTACTAAAATGTTGGCACGTCATCCCCTAGTCCGACAATAAAATCAATTCCATCTAAATTATAATATATATCTCCTTTTTGAAGAAACACGCGCCGGATTTTTAAAACGAAGATGAAATGCAACGATTCAAATGTCACAAATTTAATAAGATAGAGTCACAATACACTTATCATCCGATCCAAATATATTAGTTATGCAGTAAGCCAAAACGCCGGCTTTCGGTTTTCAAGACTCCCGGCTTTTAATGAAAACCCATAGGAAAATTACATCGCGCGTTTTAAAATGGAATGTACTAGTAGGTAATGTCCTCCGACAATAACATCCGTGTAATTTACACGTAAATCATAATTAAAGATTTTGAAAAAATAGGCGTCATTGGTTGTACTACCCACTTTATCTTTGCTTCGTAGTACATGTATCTAGTATTTAGTATCTAGTTTGTAGACACTTGTATCAGCTAACTCTTATAAATAAAAGATATAACGCGATAACGTCATACTGTCCCGTGGCACTGCATGGACACGTTTCGAATCGAAAACTAGGACACAAATTGTGTAGGTTTAATAAATTCGTCAACAGAGGGCGCTGTGCAGTGGCAAAAAAGCGTGTTCTGATCAGAACATAGTTTTTTTAATATATTTTTAACTTAATTTTGTGATTGGGCAAGAGATTTAATAATGGTGGAAGAAGTTACATTTTTGCTCATTGGAAAACTATCCAGTCCAGTCACTTGTTAGATTTAGAATATTAGATTTTTTCTCAATGTGTAATCTATGTTACATGTCCATTGTAAATTTTCATATTAAATTAACATAGTTCAACCATTTTATGATATTTTGTTTTAATAATTTACTTGCTTTTAATTGTTGATATTCAACAGACCCGTAAACACCCAGACAATGGTAATTACTCTCATCTTCAGAACTGGTTGCGGATATTTTTAAAGATTAGAATAAATTTGTATATAAAAAATGTCCACCAGTCAGCCAAAAAATTAAAATTAGGTGCCCCCTAAAGAATTATATAGGGGCAAAGTAGTGTAAAAAAAATGGTTGCCAACTTTAAATTAATTTCTCACAATAAGTTTGATTGATTGCTCAGCGTGTTTGAGAACAGACTGTAGATAAATAATCCGAATTTATGCATCACATGTTGTCATTATAACAAGTCTGGTAGAAATCGTTCCATATAGGTCTAATAAATGTCTCTAAATGAATAGCTCCATTACCATTACTTTCTTTTCGTTGAAAACCATACATAATTCATTCTCATCGATTCGTAACAAAATTAATAAAAACAATTGAAAAGTTTTTTTCAATATTTTATTTAATTCTAAGTGAAAATTAAATACTTCTATAAAATAGTGAATTTTATGAAGGTATACAAATTTTTTTTTTCATATGAAATATTCATAAATGTTTTAGATTTCAAATGCATTAACATGTGAATGATATTAAATAGTCAAATGATCAAAAGAGACCTTCAAAGACTTGTGGATAATGGGTATTACCAAATAACTTGTACAGCCATTGCCAAAGTATTCATTGGGTTTGAAGAAGGGAAACTGCTGTATAAATATTTCATAAATTTCCATAATAAAAAAACATTCACGCCTTCATGAGGTTCACTGTAACGATTGCAATGATTTAGGTATTCTTAATATTGACAAATTTCACACTTTTGACACAAGAATTTATTGTGCTTGCAAGTGGCTATTTGAGAGACTTACGAAAACATTTTTTTTTTTTAATATATATCTGTTGTTGACCAATTTTCATTTCAAAATGGCCACAAGAGTAATGCTATGAAAGAAGAAAAAAAAATTCAGGCACCTATATTTTCTATTTGCTAGGATCCCTTTTGCCCAGCAAGGTACAAAGTTTTTCTTAGTTTCACATTTTAACTAAGTTACCCACAATCATCCTTAACTGAAATCACATAAATCCTCAAGTAGTAAGTAGTTCTTGATTTGAGAAGTGATTTGTAAATCAGATACAACACTGGCGTACCTGACAACCAAATGATTTCGAAGAGAGCAACGACATTGATGTTGTAAAGAACGGGGACTTAAACCAAGACTGATTATGTCAGCGTAAAACTGATAATCTTTCTCAAGACTCTCTTTACAAATATACTCCATTTCAATGGGGCATTGCCAATTACGAAAAGAATTAATAATAAGGCAAATAATTTCCTTAACGTACTGCCTACGTGTATGTCTGTAACAAAACGATCTTATATCATAAGAAATCTGATTGATATCTGCCTGTAAACCATGGTTAATCAGAAATTGGAACATTGCAACTAGATTTATTCTACAAAGCATAGGATATGTATAGTGTTCTTGTTCCCAGAAATTGTACAAATACCCAATAGCATGACCGAGTGGTGTAAATCCATAGTCATCAACAATATTCACATTCGTCATATTTAATATTAGTTCCTCGATACAATCCATAAGACAGTGACGGTTGGCAAACAATTGGTGTAGTGCAGTTTGATTACTTCTGTTGACTTTATCCGCGGAAGACCCAAACTTAAGTAACAATTTCACACAATCTGTATCAGATATGATCGCTGCGGGGAACAATGCTGTCTCGCCGGCTTCATTTTCTTTGTTGACATCCGCTCCGTATTCGCAAAATGTTTTCAACATTTCTGCTACAGCGGGATATGTTAGTGATGGAAGTTCCACAACAGCGTGTAACGGAAGAGAGTTGACCTCGCTCTCTCGATTAATAAAAGTACCTTGCTGTAAGAATAATTTAAGACATGTTACGCAGCCACAGTTTATGACAGTTATCATTTCAGTCTTTAGCTTCGTAACGCTGTACTCCGCTAACAATTTCACGACCCGACAGGAATGGCCGTCTTTGCTAAGTGCCATGCTGATGACCTCCGCGTTGATTTCCGCACCGTTACCTAGGAGTAAGTCAACACATCTCTCACTTCCATTTTTTATTGCAACTTGTAAAGCTGAAAGGGAATCATAAATGTCGGGATCGTCAGCATGGATACTGTCAAGGTCTTCCAGTAAGACCTCAAATACTTGGTCTATCTCAAACTTCATGTTTGCATTAAAGCCACGCCATAACAACTTTTGAATTTCTCGCTCATTGTCGAGGATCAGCATCTTGTAGCAGTGACCCTTAAAGGACTGCTCAGCTTGGCTTGAAGACATGTTGTCATAGCAACAACTTTCCATGTTCTGAATATCGCATTCATCATCATCATCATCACCCAAATACATCGTTAAAGGTATCAATTTATAACTGTAAAATTAAACAATGAAACAAATTAATTGCAGGCATAATGATTATGAACTATTTTTAACATTAAAATGGCAATCTTGAATCGGGTTGTGAAATTCATACACACAAATGTGACTTCATTTTAGTCAATGCACATTTCTTGTTAATTCAACCAACCATTATGTAGGGTTTGACAATAACCCTAACCCACTATGGAAAGTAAATTCTTGCAAGGACCAGTATATAAATATTTTGAATGATGGTATGGTTATTTTTGTTAGATATTTTGTCGTTTCATTATTTAACCACAAAGTAATCATTAATTTTAAATGTTCCTGTGGATATGCGATGGACAGACCAAAGGCAGATAACCCGACTACATATTGGCTCAGTTGGGAGAGGGGGGGGGGCATTTGCAGTTAAAATTGTTGAATTGTATCCAGCAGTGCAAAGGAGATGCCTGTAAGTTGTTTCAAACCTAATCAAACAATTATTTGTAATCCACCAGGAGTAACAATTGAAAATAAAATCAGGCCAGGCCAGGCATGTTGATAACATGTTTAAATTATGTCATTTTTTATGGTAATTACAAATCAAGTTGCAAATCATTTAAATTTTATCAAAATTCAAAAACAACTGAATCGATTAAGCAACCATTGTACCAAATTTCAAATTTAATCAAAATCTTTGAAATCACAGTTGGAGAAGTCTTGAGAAAAAAAAAAGGCTACCATATGACCTGCCTCTGTTACAGTGTGCCTTCTAAACTGATATAACAACCCAGTGGACGCAAACATTTGCTCTGACACAAGTAGTTGTACAACAGAAAATCATACATTGATCTTGAAAAACATCTTGCTATATATATTTATGATTAGATATAATGGAAATAATATTTTACAAACAAATTAAGTGTAATTACAAAAGAATACAGGGACCACCTTATATTCAGTAATGCAATTTTTTTGAAGGCTGATTGCTCCATGAGTCAACAAGCTTTTGAATAAGGATTCCTACAAAATTAGTCCTGTTAGAGGCAACACTACTCTGTACTAATGGGGTGGTGGGTGTGTGTGTGTGTGTCCTTCCCCAACTTTTGCGAAATCTGATTCCCATCAACCCCCCGAAAGAAATGACCAGTCCCTAAATTAGCTGCAATGAATATTCAAGAAACATCATTGCTGTTTTCAAATGAATGGAATGCACCAATACATTGTGCATATACACAAATAATGTTAATTCCTGCTGGCAAAAGAGATGAAAATTCATACACGTGATAATATTGAATAAACTCATGAATTTGACCTACACTCATTTAATAATCAGGATATGATAAGGTCACATACAAATATCAAACTTATTTGTTTAGTGGAGAATTAAGTCAAAGTAAAGTTCACATTAGAGAGACATATTCCAATTATTTCACTTAAAGGGCGGTGGTCGTCGTGCTGCACATGTGCAACATTTGTGATGATAAACATTGATTTTCCCACAATCCAATGCGCTCTTCTAATGGAAATCATGAAATCAAATTAAGTATGAGGTTTGACCTGGGCTCGACTTGCACTTATTATTGCCGGTGACTCCTCGGATACTTTCCAATCACCTAAAAATACCTAATTAAAGCTTGGTAACTTCTTAGTTTGTACTCGTTGATCTCCGCGACAGTCGCCATCTTTGTTTGTATGAGACATATATATATATTGCGCATGCGTGGCGCGACGACTACCGCCCTTTATTAAATTGTTTGAATGACTGGAAACTATGCTTTATTTAACCACTAAACTTTTATTGATTTTAATTTTAACAAACACGTACAGTCTGTAATTTTGCTTCTTGTGAAGATGTTGGATTTTGTTCTTGCATTACTAGTATTCCATAGTTGAATCGTGGGTCGTTTGTAGTTCCTTGGTTACACAGAGCGTACGAGGGTGAATATTTGTTTTTCGCACAAGCCCTCTAATTTCAAATATTCCTTCTCTTCTTTTTTTTATTAGCAAACCCGACTTATAACCAACTGAACACGTTGGGGTTGGATATAAGTCTGGTTTACTGATTTATTACCTCCGTAATCGAACACGAACAAACCATAGAGCTAGTTTTTAGTCCATGAACACACGTGGTTGGACTGAAAATATGACGAGAAATCGACGAGACATGTGAATGTCTGGGCTTTACAAATTCCTCGCTGTAAACACACATTACGACAACAACACTTCTGTGGAAAACGGAATACCTTTACCTTAATCAGAAATCCAAAGTAAATACCAGGACATGTGAGTACTCGAATCACGAAATCATCCACAACACAACGCACAATGCGAGCACACATTCGACAGTGATCTCAGTCCGAGTCACCGAGGCAGCCCTCTCAAAATAATTCATTTGATTGAGGGCGCACTCCTTCCGAAACCTTGTATTCATGGTATATAATATATATATGTTGAAACACTGGCCAGGCAGATCAGAATACAAATTATGACATTGCTGCTTTTATGCAGTTGCAAATCTATAAATATAAATGATATGAGGCAATTGACCACACATTTATGAGAAACAAATCAGCTCACTTCCGTCACAACAGAGATTTGGCATCAATAAAAATATTTGCCACTGGTTAAGGAATGCAGGAAACGCAATCAGTTTGAAGTTAACGAAATGCAGCATTTCTAAATTATAAGTGTATCAAATCAAAGTTTAAAGAAATCTTTTGAGGATTCAGTCTCCAAGACCCCAATCACATTCATTGAGATCATTTGATTTTGCTAAACGTATGGAATAAACATCCACAGAACTATAAAAGCCAGGCTCAATTCTAAAAGCAGATACTGACTGTTAAGACAAGTCCAACAACAACTCTATCGCCACTGAAAGAGCAGAAATGAAAAGACTTGACGTTTCCACATGCATCACTCTAAGCGACTGGTTTGTCTCTTGGTAAGCCCTGTTCAGATGAAGAGCAAGATGGCCCTGACAAAGAGATGGATTGTGACTGAACTTAATTATAGAACACGACGACAAGCAAATAACTATGACAGGCATAACTTCGCGAATCACAGCAAAAACCTAAATTGTGATTATTTACTGCCAATTCATCAACTGCAATTACGTCAAAAACGAAAATGTTAGAATCAAGAAAATATTAGAAATTCAATTGGCCGTCATCAGCCATGGACACATTTATTCCTGTATCCTCAAACTTTTTTACATTTGACGCTCTTAGACAAAAACACGTTATTTTTTCACTCTGTACCCGTATTACTCATAGTGATAACATCATTCTTGTGATGCATTTAGAATAGTGCCGTGAAGAATCATGCATGTGGTCGTATATTGAGAAGTCTTCCTAATTTGTTCATTTTTGCTTTTTCAGTGGCGAGAGGGTATTGTACTCTTGTTGTCGGACTTGTCTCCGCTTTTAGGATGGCTTTCATAGGTCTGTAAGCGTGTATTCCATACCTTTACTTCAGCTGAAACAATGGATATCACTGAATGTGATTGGCGTCTTGGGACTTCTCCATATATGATCACATGGATAATTTTTCGTGGCTGATTTGTCCAATGGTGAAGCAGTGATAGAGAGGTGGATTGTGACTGATTATAAACAGTACACGGTGTACAGTATGATTTGGTCGCCTCCGTTTGTCCTTGTGTTCGTCATTATTATCAATATACCTTAGCCAATTCTACTCACAATTAGTATTCACTGAGGTGTCATTTTGTTCCTCGTTTCAATTTAAAATATTCGCCTGCCATCCAATTTTTTCAAGTATTTAACCCATTTTACAGATACACATGCTCTTTGCAATTATTTTTGGATTTCAATGTAATTTAACCTGATTTAAAAAACAAACAAACAAAAAAACAAAGTAGCCGATTTAATTCAAACTTGTTTTTTGTTTTATTTTGTGATTTTATTCAAAATGACCGACTGGTGGCCATGTTGGTTTACTTTCATTTGTCCTTGTCCATTTATCTGATGTACCTTCGCTGTCTTTGTTCAAAGTAGGTACAAATTGCAAGACACACTGATCAACAATTGATGCTTCTACCCATTCCTCCTGCAGATGCACTTTTTGTGCATGGAGAGAATTGCTATATTCGCCGCCTCGGATGTCATTACCAGCACACGCTTAGTTGTCCGTTTACTCGTATTTATTAACCGCCCAGGGAAAACGCAGTAATACTTATTTTATTGATAGCCTTAATGATGTCGAAAGACAGAAAACAAGTTAAAAATGTTATTGCCTTTTTCAGTTTATTTACTCATCTGTTTTAAAATGTCCATGTCATACACAAACTTATCTATTTAGCAATGAATATTTATTTGATTAATGGAACTGTTAATTGCATGTTATGATTACTGTGTAGTCGTGCAAAGTGCTTGATCATTTGATATATTTTGCACATTAACACTTTGCAAAATATATTTTAGGTGCAGATTATGTGTATTGATAATGAATTTGTTACCAAATTATCGGCGGAAACGCTGATATAATATTACAATATTTAGACGTGTTTTGTGTCAAAGCACTTTTTAAAGCGTTGCGGTGATTTTTTTTTCAATACGTGTTTCTGATGGAAACTTTTTAAAATATGTTTCTAATGAAAGCACTTTTAAAAATGCTGTGAGAATGAACAATTTTCAATGCATGTTTTTAGTGTAAACACTTTTAAAAATGTGTGTCTAGTAAAAGTAGTTTTAAAAGTGTTGTGATAATGAACACTTTCCAATACGTGTTTCTGGTGGAAACACTTTTCAAAATATGTGTCTATTTAAAGCGCTTTGGAAAATGTGGTAATAATGAACACTCTTCAATACGTATTTCTGATGGAAACACATTACATGATAAAACATGTGGGGACAAAAATGTGATATATTTTAAAACACTTGGATATTGGACTATAGTTATATCAGGTAGACTCAGATGTGTTTATTTCATGAAGATATATTTGGCTTTTGAAAAGTATTTTTGTCATTTTAGGTAAAACAATATGTTATCATCTTTAGATGGCTTCCACTCTGCATTTCTTGTTTAATACGCTATTCTTTCATTAAAATAATTACATCAAATTCATGTCTTCAATTCACTTTGCAAAATCGCGATCTCTACCGGTCTATAGAGCGTAACTAAGCTCATCGCTCCAGGAAGTTGTTCTATCGGCTTTACTGACAGGTTTTTCCCCGTAACCTAGTCTGATATTATCTGGAGCATTATTTTATACTTAAATAACTATTCGCAGCACGGAACCACTTAGACGTACGAGATATTCTATAATAATGAACGTATTGATATATACTATGTGTCTCCGTGAGTATGTCAATAATTGGTAGCGACTTCCTGTAGGATTAACCAATCATGAACCGTCTATTGTATGCCCGAAACATAACCTAATTGCCCCTTTTAAAGTAACTCCAATGATAATGAAATTGA